AGAGCCTGGAACTTGTCTGGGAAGCTACCAGAAGCCTGGCCTTGGGCTCTTCTTTCCCCACATGACTTCATATCGAAAACAGCTGCTCTAATGAGGCTGTATCTCTAGCATGAGTGACCTGGGCTCAGGCGCAGCTCTCTGAGTGACAGGTGGTAGAGCCCTCACACGAGATGACTCCTCTTAGCCTTTCTTTTCCATGTTAGGTTTCCCAAAACCTTTCCCAAACTACACAAGCCCTCTGTTAACTCTCTGCCAACTTAAAAGAAAAATATCAAAAGTTAAACTGTGCGTGTGTGCACGTCTTAGTGTCAGCTCTGTGCTTTGCCTGTGGCCCACGATGGGCTAACACCCCTTTAAGCATGTCCCCATTAAGGCCTATCTCGGAATCCAAGCAGCCTGGAGAGGTGCCGTTGAAGTTCTGAACACGCAGTTATTTCATAGAGCCCTTCACTTGTTAAACCAGTGTCTGACAGCACTTCCGACATCGCAGGCGGCCTCCCCACCCCCCGGGCACTATGTGGTGATGGAGACCAGAGGCAGGACCCCTGTGCTCCGCAATCTTCCCACTGGGCAAACAGGCATCCAAGTTCTTGAGAAGTTCCACGTCCACCAAGGCCGAGCAGTGGTGAGGTCCTCTTGGCTGTCCTGCTGTAAGCAGGCAGCTGACACAGCGCCTGACCTGTCTCCATCCTGAGGTCATCAGAGCTGGTCTTGAGTGGGTATTGCTGAGACAGTGACACAAGGACCCTTTATTCGCTTAAGGCCTGAGGTGCTGTGTGTTAAAATTGTCACTTGACTATACATTCCTGACAATTATGACTTTTCCTACTTTTCTTATGCTGAGATGGTGTGGTAAAAATCCTTGGTTTTGTCATTTCTGAAAGGAGCCCTCCAGTAAAATGGAATGTTAAATTCCAGAAAATTGAAAATAGAAGATTGCATTCCCGAAAATAGAACATTGAATTCCATTGAGTTCCATTGAGTTCCAGAAAATATCCAGCTGTTATATCATCACCCTGCTGTTCATAACTGAGACAGAGAGAAGCAACTGATGAATTTGTGCCTTGAATGGCAGAGACCTAAGGTGAACTGAATAGCTACCTGATAAATTAGTCCTAAATTTCCCCTTAACTGCTTATAAATCAATGTGACTATAAACTTCATCAGTTCAGACACAATGTATATTCTCATAATAAATACAGTAAGGGGGTGAAATTGATAAAAAAAATTTCCCCATTTAACAAACTCTCTAAGTCCAGTATAAATTAAAAGTATAAGTACACTAAGAGCCCCAGAGATGTGCTATATAGTAACTGTAGTTACTGTGTATCTGAAAGTTGGCCACAGCAAATCTTAAAAATCTTGACAAAATAAAATGTATAAAATTATAACTAGGTATGGTGATGGATACTAACTAAACTTACTATGGTAACCATTTCACCACAGATATGTATCTGTACATACACACATTTATACATAAACCAAATCCTTGTATCTACATCTGTAACTAATACAATGTTACAGCTCCCTGCAAAATATCTGTGCTCAAAGAGGAAGACAAAGGGAACTGCCAGGGAACTCTGACCAAGCCACATTATTCTCTTAACCTTTCTTTTCCATGTTAGGTTTCCCAAAACCTTTCCCAAACTACACAAGCCCTCTGTTAACTCTCTGCCAACTTAAAAGAAAAATATCAAAAGTTAAACTGTGCGTGGCACAGCAGTTTAAAGCACAGCATTAAGAAGCTAAAGCCACTTTAGCATGAGTTCGATCCCCACCTGCCCCAGAGGTGACCCACATGGCCTGGCAGACCTCTCCTGACCCTCCCGCTGCTCCCCTCAGCAGTGTACTTCATCAGTCACCTGTTCTGCTCCCCACCCTATATCTGGTGAATCCTGTCACCACCCCTGCACTCTGGCCTGTACCCCAATTCTGTATGCACAAATAAATAAATCTTTAAAAAAAGAAAGAAAGAAAGAAAGAAAGAAACAGATTAAACATCTGTACTAAAAGGTCAGAGTCATTGAATTAGTTTTTAGGCTTCAAAAACACTTTGAGAACACTTAATTTGATATCTTTGTGAAAAGCAAAATGTTTCCCCTACAAATTTTACCCAGCATCATAACTTAAGACACTGAATGGGCTGCTTGTACCCAATAATTAAGTAGAAACCTAGTGGGAATTTAGAGAGTACCTCCATTTAGCTCTGGCTCACACACCTCTTGGGAAGCTTCTCCAGGGGATATCACAGTGTGGGGGCACTTAGGGCCTGGTCCTCACCACACAGATGCCCACGGCAGTGTCCCAGACAGTGGTCCAGAAGGAGAATGGCCTGCAGCATGCCCGGAAGATGCTGCACGTGGGTGACCCAGTGGTGAGGAAGGCTGCTGTCTCCCTGCTGCGGAACCTGTCCCGGAACCTTGCCCTGCAGAACGAGATCGGTGAGTCCAGCCGTGACGTGTGCCCTGAACACGGACACCCCAATACTGCTCTTGTGGATGGTACAGAAGCAGTAACTAGTCTTTCAGACACGTGGCCATTATTGGCCAAAACAGACAAGAAACTGTCACTGCATTTAGCAGATTCCTCATAGACGGTGGCATTGAGGGTCAATACGGGGAAGCCTCTTTGCCCCATTTTGAGTCAATATTAATTGGAAAAGAAGATACTGATCCACTCTCGAAAGACCACCACATCAGATGATTCTCTCGTGTCATTCATTTGCATTATCCCTGTGAACATCTGATCGCGTTTGTGATCTAGTCAGAAATGACAAAAGGAAGATATGAAAATTCCTCATGCTTCGGAATGCCCATAAATTAGTCCTTCGTGACAACTGAAATGATAAACTGTTTTTAATAGATTAGATTAGTTAGGAACTTGCACAGAGATGTGAGCTCCTTACCCAAGACAGCCAGCAGCATGGCTTCAGGCAAGCAGCAGAGCCTGGAACTTGTCTGGGAAGCTACCAGAAGCCTGGCCTTGGGCTCTTCTTTCCCCACATGACTTCATATCGAAAACAGCTGCTCTAATGAGACTGTATCTCTAGCATGAGTGACCTGGGCTCAGGCGCAGCTCTCTGAGTGACAGGTGGTAGAGCCCTCACACGAGATGACTCCACTGACAAACCCTTTTCTCTTCTGTGATCAGACAGGTAGAAAATAAGAGGCTGCAGCAAACTAAAGCTGTTCATTCCAGATTGGCTTCATGGCAACATTAATTTGACTAAAACAATCTGCTTCGATTTGAAGTATGAATAGACAGGTATAAGAGAATCGGGTTGAAATATGTGCTTTGGATCTCTCGTGAGAGATCTCTAGGACTGGCTAAAATCTTTTCCAGGTGCTAACCTGGAATGAAGTCATCAGATTTATAGAAAGAAACTTAAAAGGAAGACCAGTGACTTGGCCTGGTGAGGGATGCCAGGCCATGCAGAGGACTGGGTCTGCACCCTGTAGGCTCCCACGCACCATGCCCTGACTGTCACCCTTTGTCTTGGCACCTAGCTGCATGATGGTGCTCAGCAGGGGAGGCTATAATCACCTCCTATCAGGATCAGACAACAGATAATGTATGCAAGCACCAGAAAATAGTGGGATGCGTTTCTGGTGTCTCGGTTCCCATTTGTTGTTACAGTTGTTTACAGACAGGTGTCTTGGTTCCATGGTCAGGGCAGGGCTTTTAATTTTATATCCAAGGTCCTAAGGTCCTATTTATTATTTAGGGTCAAACCATTTGATTGAGGGGTTTCAAGAGACAGAAAGAGATGAGGGGATGTCCTCCCTTGTGCTCAAACCAGTAGGGAATCTCCCCAGCCTCACAGTCACGGAAAACGTGCAAGATCTAGGCCCTCCCTGGTGGCGCAACGGGTTAAAGCACAGCACTGCAAAGCTGGCTGCAGGCACTTTGGTGCAAGTTCAATCCCTGGGCCGGGAGGTGACCCACCTGGCGCAGCAGACCTCTCCTGATCTGCTCGCTGCTCCTCTCAGCAGTGTACTTCATCAATCTGCCTGTTCCGCTCCCCACTCTGACTCTGGTGAATCCTCTCCCTGCCCCTGCACCTCTGGCCTGTACCCCAGTTCAGTATTCACAAATAAAAAAAATCTTAAAAGAAAGAAAACTTGCAAGATTCTCTTTTACCTATCCAGCATGAATGTATTTTCCAGGCCCATGGTCATAGGAGCAGGTCATAGGTTTTGGGCTGTGTAATATTTTTTACTGTGTAATATTCTTTTCAATTCTACTCCTATTGGAATATTTATTTGAGATTTATTTTCTTTATTTATGCATATAGGCGCTAGGATACAGGCCAGAGGTGCGGCAGGGATGAAAGGATTCACCAGAGACAGAGTGGGGAGCAGACCAGGTGGATTGAACACTGTTCAAGGGAGCAGCAGGCGAGACAGGAGAGGTCTACTTGCCATATGGGTCCGCTGCCAGGCTGGAGATCAAACTCAGGCTGCAGTGGCTGCTGATAGCTTGATAGTGCTGAGACTTAATCCCTTGCACCTCCACAGAGGCCCTGTGTGGAATATTTAAACTTTTATATTTTTCCATTGATAAGTGACACTGTCTAATAAAGAGCTCTTCAAAGCTTCTTGCATTTTCAAAGTGATGTTTTTAGGATGACTTTCCAGAAGTTGGATTACTGAGTCAAAGGATATTAAAATAAAAATCTTTAAAATCCTTGACATTTCTGTCAAGAATCGCTTTCTGTCAAATTGCTTTCCAGAAGATTTCTAACTGCTAAATACAGAATATCATCCTTTTAAAAATCTGTTATATTTTATTTCTGGTTAAAAAGGACTAAACTTTCTTGACAAACTGTTGCAGACATTCAATAAGCTCGAGCTCCTGTTCAGACACTTGCCCACGAGGCATCTACTCTCCCAAGAACAAAAAGGGAGTGTGGCACAAACCCAGGCCAGGCTTTGGTCCTGTAAAAGCAGATCTGGATGTGTCTAAGGGCCCCTTCGGGCAGGCTGGCGTGGAGATGCCCTGACAGCCACGCAGGGGTCAGCTCCGTACTGACAACCTTCAGCTTGTGAGAGTTCACTCCTGGCCTGCGTCCAAGTGAGCCTTTCACAGGGCACAGAATCCCAGATGCGTGAAATACTTTGTGTGTTTAAACAAAAAGACAAAACTTGAAAAAACTTAACTGTTAGTAGTAGCACTGACAGTGGGTAAAAAGCTTTATATCAAATTTAGTTCCAGCGGCTAGCCCGCTCCCTATTCTCTTCAGCACCTATTCCCTGCTAAGAAATCTCTCAACTCCGGAAGTCTAGGGCTAGATTTCAAAACTCACAGAATGAAAAAGTCACCTTACAAACCTAATTTTGTTGTTTTAAGTCAAGCTGAAAGATTGCATCAACTGTTAATTCATGTTAAAATTAACCCTTCAGATTCAACCACCACATGCTTAAAAACCTCTTTAAAAACAGTGTCTTAATGGAGCTGGAAGGGACCATGCTTAGTGAAATAAGCCAGAAAGAAAAAGAAAAATACCAGATGGTTTCACTCATAGCAGGAGTATAAAGGACCAGGGGGAAACATAGTAATAATGAACAGCTATATACCAGAAACATTTTACGGGGGTGGAGTGGGAATGGAATCAAAAATGGGGGTGAGGAGTGCACTGGACTGTGGTGACGGCACAGGGTGAACTGGTGATGGGAAGCCCACAGGGATTACAACTGAGATGGAAAAAGGCACAAAATGATGTAAAAATAAACTATTATAATTTTTAAAAATTTAAAAAACCACTTCTTAGAGAGCTTTCCATGTTTGTTAACCCTTTGTGTTTCTTTAACAAATGTCCTTTATCCAAAAATGTATGGCGATCTTAAGGTCAAGAAATGATCTTTTGGATCAAGTGGCCTTTTCTTTGCTCTTGCAGCCAAGGAGACACTGCCTGACTTGGTTTCCATTATCCCTGACACCGCCCCACGGACAGAGCTGCTCATCGAGACCACAGCCTCCGCCTGCTACACCCTGGCCAACATCATCCAGAACAGCTACCAGAACGCGAGGGACCTCCTGAACACGGGGGGCCTGCAGAAGATCATGGCTATCAGTGCCGGAGACAGGTAGGCACCGCACACCTGCCTGGTCCCACCTCCTGTGCTTGGTGTGAATCACCTGGTCATGTGGTCCTTGGGGGTCTGGTGGGCAGAAAGCTGGGCAGTCAGGCAGTGGGGGGTGCTCCAGGCCACCACTGCCCTCTCCTTTCTGAACCAATGCCCCGAAACCCCACAGCCCACCGGGCAATGCCATTATCCTTCCCGCCCCTGCTGGAAAGTGAGGGCAGCTGCATGTGGGCTGGGGGAGGGGAAGACTGTGCACAGGGGGTCCTTCTCCACCCCAAGTCTAAGGGGCTCCGGCACCCCCTGGTGGCTCTGAGCAGCAGGCTGACCCTGTGGGAAGTAGGAGCCAGCCTAGCACTTCTCCAACTCCTCCCTCACCTCTCACCTCCTGCGAGGTGTGAGGTAAATGAATTAATCAGGCCGTTAGTCACTGTGGCTCTCACCTGCGGCCTCCATCCCATTAACGTGGGTGCTGGCACATGTGCCTGCTTGTGGGCGCCTGGAATGTGGGGGTGTGTGCGTGAGTGTAAGTGCACACCTGAGCCTGGAGGCGGGGCTAAGCGGGTGCGTCACTCAGACGAGACTGCTAGGACAGACAGGAGCCAGCCAGAGAAATACTGAGAGAGAGGAAGCTGGTCTGTCCCCGGCTCAGCATTAAAGGCCTGTGACAATCTACTGAAGGCTCCGAAAATACCTTCATTTGTGAGAACTGAAGATGAACCACCCTGGCCTGGGGTGGTTGCACAACTAGGTCACCCCTCGCCCCTATTTCTGAGGGCCTTCACATTTTCCTCATTACAATAAAAATAGTGAAAAATAATTAAAAAAGAAAAAAAGCCGGGGGTCGGGGTGCATGAAAGAAGACAGAAGCCTCTATAACCAAGTAACTCCTACTGTTTAGGATGGGGCCCGAAAGGACATGAAAATTCCTCTCTTTTTACTTGACTGAATTGTTTGGCTTGTCAAAGACAAGTGGCTTTTGTAAACAGCAAAATAAAAAAGTGCTGCAGTGAAGCCAGCTCTGATGGAGAGGTGGTCCCTGCATACCTGCATCACTCAGGTGCTCAGCCTCAGGGGCCCCAGGGTGAAGGCCCACCTTCCCCTTCTGACCTCATGGCCTGCAGCCCCTCCCGGCAGCAACCAGGGCAGGAAGTCACATCCTGGAACTGCCGACCTCAGTCACCTGCCCAGGAGCAGCCCCAACTTCCCAGGCCAGCGGAAGCGGCCTCTCAGTCTTTGTGGGAGAATGAACCACCTCTGCAGACCCAGCTTCTGCACAGGTCTGCCTGACACCAGGCTCCCCACTTGCTTAGTGGGGAGCAGCAGTGCCAGGTGGGGCATAGGGAGGACCCATGCTGCTGAATGGGTCCTCCGAGACAGCTCCCAGCAGAGTCCGCAAGGAGCCTCTGCCCCTGTGGCTGCTGAGCTTTCCTGCTTGAGGGTCACAGGCCGCCCTGATGTCGGGCTGCCTGGGAAGCAGCATTGCAGTGTGGCCTCTGCCCACCTGAGTTCCCAGAGTCCAACAACCAGCTTGTGAACGGCCTTGTGCAAGCATAGAACCTTGTGGCCTTGAGACCCCTCAATTTTGTGGATTTCTCAGATCATTGAAAAGGGAGTTACTATGTTGGGGTTCAGTGACTATAGTTGACACACCTAAATTATGATGCAACATCAAAAAAAATTTTAAAGTAAGTCTATGAGTACAAATGTTAAAAAGAAAATCATTGAAAAACCCATTTTTAATAAATCCTCTCAAGGAAACCCAAAACGAGAAATAAGATTTTTTGGAAGATTTATTTACTTATGCATACAAAAAGTGGGGTACAGACCAGTGGTGTAGGGTGGTGAGAGGACTCACCAGAGACACAGTAGGGAGCAGAACAGGCAGATCCACTGAAATCCACTGCTGAGGGGAGCAGTGGGCAGGTCAGGAGAGGTCTGCTGTGCCACGTGGGTCAGCTCCCTGGCCAGGATCAAACTTGTGCTCTAGTGGCTGAGATAGCTTCATAGTGCTGAGACTTAAGCCTTTGTACCACCAGGGAAGCCCCAAGAGATATGATTTTAATGAGACATTCTGTGGGGGAGGAAGAAAAGGGACAATGAAACCATCATGAGGTTTTCTGTGTATGACATAATAAATATGGACCACAAGGTCACATGACTTGACTTACTCTCCGGAGAGACTGGGAGGATGTTAGCTCATCGGGGAGCCCAAAGTGTGTTTCTCCATGCAGCTCTGCTTCTCTCTGCTTGGTGCATCTGCATACTGCTGTATTTAATAATTTTTTTTTAAGATTTATTTATTTGTGCATACAGAACTAGGGTACAGGCTAGAGGTGCAGGGACGATGAGAGGATTCACCAGAGACAGAGTGGGGAGCAGAACAGGCAGATCGACGAAGTACACTGCTGAGGGGAGCAGTGGGGGGGTCAGGAGAGGTCTGCCACGTCATGTGGTCACCTCCGGGGCAGGCGGGAATCAAACTCATGCGGAAGCGGATGGAGCTTCTTAGTGCTGTGCTTTAACCCGCTGCGTCACCAGGGAGTTTTAATTTTTATTGATGGAACCTTTTCATTTTCTTATATCACTTTTGTGCGATATTTGACTTCTCCCTAGGTGTAGTCCCCATAAATCACCCACCACCACATCACCTGTGACCATCACCATAGTCCCTTGTGTTCTCCTGTCCCCTGTAGGCCTCAGATCTATGGATTACTTGCAAGTTTTGTCTTTTTCTTCCCCCAACTTTTTGTTCGGTTCCCCTATATTCCTCCTATAAGTGACCATCCAATTATTTTTTTCCTGACTTATTTCCCCAAGCATGATGCATGATCTTTGCTTTTTTTTCTTAAAAGAAAAATTTCAAACGTGTGCTAATCCAGGTGATGTAGGACAAAGGCCTAAGAAACAGGCCCCCAGCCGGAAGGAGGGCATTCAGGACGGCCACAAACGCGGGTCACCTGGGCCTCTGCACAGAGTCAAACTCTGGGATGACTTAAATTCGTAACAGGAGCCCGTTTTCCATTTGCTCAGAAGGAAAGCATGAAGAAGCTTTAGAAACAATCTTAACAGAGAGCCCCAGGAGCGCTGACTTATGCAGCCTGTCCACACAGGGTGCTGGCAGGAGCCTTAGACCTTCCAACTCAGCTCAGATAATCTCTCCTCCTTTCCAGCTACGCCACCAGCAAGGCCAGCAAGGCCGCCTCCGTGCTCCTGTACTCTCTGTGGACACACACAGAGCTGCACAACGCCTTCAAGAAGGTAAGGACACACTGGGCTGTCGCGGGCAGGGCCGGGGTGCTGGCCTGGTTGGCTCACACTGGTGTGCTGTCACTAACTGTATGTTTCTCTGGTGAAATGTTACCTTTCTTGTTTCTGTTTGCTTACTCCAAAGGCTCAGTTTAAGAAGACAGATTTTGTCAACACCAGGACTGCCAAAGCCTACCACTCCCTGAAAGACTGAGGGAGGTGCCCCCAAACCGCCCCACTGTTCTCAGCCACCAAAAAATCCCACTGGAAAATACCTATTTTTCTACGACCCAGCCCAACAGACATCAAGATAGCGTGCCCTGTTCCTTTCCTGCCTGTTGCCATAGTCCCTGGAATCCAGAAAACATCGCTAGAATATACTTTTATCAGTTTCCCAGAAGACATTCGCATGTCTGCACAGCCCACCAGCTGTGGGCCAGATTTCACTTACTACGAATGGTCTCTGCACCCAGGACAATGGCCATGGGACTCTTGGAGCTAACATGTAAATTATGTGGAATGGTCACCAATGGAGCCGGCCAGAAGCTGTCCCAGCCCTGGGACTTTGGAAGCTTGATTTACGTTTATAGCCTCTCTGGCTTCCCCTCTAGTCATGCAAATCACCTCTCCTGAAGCACAGTGTGGTTGAAACAGGAGTGGAAACCACCAGAAACTTCTTCAGAGCCCCCAGGAGAAAACTTAATGGCAAAATGGTTTGTTTACTCCCTGCTTCTCTGTCCTCATTTTTTCCCCTCTTATTTTCAGTTAAGAAATTTAGATCACAGCATGTACGTAACAGTAAGAAAGTGAACTGGGAGGTGGCTGGAAGGACTCGAGCATCTTTCCCCAAGAAAGGCAGCTTTGGCTGAGACATGCAGTGTTCCCTCCGAACACCAAGTCAGGGTGATTTTTGTTCAAGGAAATGCTTTGCCTATAACAACACTATTAAATGCTAATCTCCTGTTTGCCAGCACCTACCATGGGCTGGTGGAAGGACAGGTCGGGCTCTGCTCTTTGGTTTCAGGAGGAACCAAGGCCTCTTTGATCTGGCAGCCAGGTGACCACAGACATAGCTGGCTTAGTGCGTTGCTTTGCGACTTGAAAAATTAACAGGGTCTCTAAACCTCACGGTGTCTTCCCTGGGCCATGGCTTTAAGTCAAAGAAACTGGAGAGAAGCAAAATGAAGAAATCATGTTAAGGAAAAAGGTGCCTAGTCCATGAAGAAGTGAGAAGTCCTAATGCTGAAAAGTTGGATGGCACCGTTTGCTGCAGCAAATCTGTTTTGTTATTTTAAGTGGATGGTGATGAACACCCTTGTGAAATCAGCCTTCTCAACTGTAATTCTGTCATGTTTTGCTTTGTTTAAAAATATATATCTGACAGTGTTTGTTATAAGAAAATAAGAAGGAAGAAAATTCTTTCAGCTGCTTTTGTTCAGAAAAGTATAATAGCAAATAAATTCTAACTTCCAATTTGAATGTGGGCCTAAGTCTTTTTATTTAGAACTTACCTTTTATTTGAATTTGAAAAACCCAGTGAAAATGATTTGTGGCTATTAGCTAGTCCAAAGTAAGCTTAGATACCAGTGTTTGAAATACTGAAAAGAGAAATTACATCTCTTCCCAGAATTCTGATAATAAACATCTGGCATTTTCTACAGGTGATTTATTGGTGTCAAGAAGTTTCTTTGTTTTAAAAGGCAACCTAGAGGCTTCACTTACGTTGCACACAAAATGAAGAGAAAATAGCATCGCCTGGTGTCTTTTGTCTGTGACTGACATGTCTCTGGTTCTGTGTGATGTGATTGACAAGATGTGAGGGTTTGACCCTGGAAGTCTCAACTTGAATGATGAAGGGGCTGACATAATTGCTTCTATATCCCTCTAAATTCTTTATCAAGGAACAGTTTTGGGTAAGAAAAATGGAAACTAACTAGTGCCTAAAGCATGTGAAAACCAAGAGGCAAAGCTATTGTCAGAGTTTGGTGAATTATCTGAGTGGGTCCCTCCCTGCCGCTGGGGACACTGCCTTACTCTCTGTGAGCACCTCAAGGAGGCTCTGGGAGATGAAATCTCAACTGGACTCTTTCCCTCTGTGTCCCAGACCATGCCTGCTCACAAAAGAACTCAGGCAACCAGGGATTTTTGTTTATTTGTGCTAAGAATTCCAGAAGGCTGGGGCCTGGTCAAGAAGTCTGGACGTCTCCTGGAGCATGAGAGGCTCCGCCAGCATCTCTCTCTTTGCTTAAACCTGCCAGAGGGTTATCTGATGAGACAGGGGATTAGCTTGTCAAGTGGGAAAATCTGCAGCCTGAATGGAGCCGCCACGTCAAGCCAAATTAACCTCCCTCTGAAGCCGCAATTCCTGAAGGGAATGGGGGATGTGAGCGTGGATGAGTCTGTGTGGTGTGTAAGCGAAGCATCCCCTCAAGTAACATGAGCTGGAATGAAGGGCTTCAGGTTGGGGGTGCCCTGAGAAAAAATCTCACAAGGTTAGATTCCCAGACTCTGTGGTGGGGTTCAGAGGACACCTGTTAATCTTCTTGCATCAGAAAGGGCTCAGCCTGAGGAGACTGACACACAGACCGTTAACTAACTCCCAACAGGCCCTGGGACCCGTCCATCTTCCACTCAGAAACTTGCCTTGAGTGTTTGCTGTGGGGGAAGATGTTGTGGCCGCTGTGCCTTGGGGGTGCCGCGGGTCAGGGTTGAAGTGGTCTGCGCTTACTCTCTTCCCATGTCAACTTCAGCTTTTCAACCAAGGCGGAGGCAGGGTCTTTGTGTGATACGTTCGGGAGAGACCAAATGCCACACATTACAGAGTTGTTTAAAATAGGAGCAGAAGGCACACGCTCTGGAGGCTGTGGTGGGGGCAGGGGAGAACAGAGCGCTGACCTGGGAAGGGGCAGAGCCCCATTTCCACGCTGGAGAGGCCCCTGCAACTGACAAGCAATGGAGCCGGACAGATGGGGGCTGCCGACAGGCCAGCCAGAGGACACTGGCTTGGTGGCTGCAGCCACCTCTGGAGGTACACCTTTCCCTTTCTCTGTTTTTTATTTTTTAAAGATTTATTTATTTAGGCATACAAGAACTGGGGCACAGGCCAGAGATGCGGGACAGGTTGGGGGAGATGAGAGGATTCACCAGAGGCAGAGTGGGGAGCAGGACAGGCAGATTGATGAAATCCACTGCTGAGGGAAGCAGCAGGTGAGACAGGAGAGATATGCTGTGCCATGTGGGTTGCTCCCTGGTTGGGGATCAAACTCGTGCTGCAGTGGCTGAGGATAGCTTCAGTGCTGACTTAACTCCTTGAGCCAGCAGAGAGGCCCAGGATTAAGTGTTTTAATAGCATTTGAAACAATGCTGACACTCCTCAGTAAAATCATAGCTAAATGGCGTGGGCTCTCTGTGTGTGGGTCTTTTTTGTATGGTTTTGAAATTGTCTCCCATTTTATACATACACACACACACATACACACACACATGCCCATCTCTCAGAAAGCCAGTAAAATAAGGAGAACAAACCTGGCCCAGCCCATGATCCTGAGCATCTGAATTCAGAACACAGCCTCTGGGACTTCCAGTATGTGGGGAGGTGTCATACTTAAGCGAGTTTGGGACCAGCCAGTTACCTCCAGGGCTTTCTTGGTTTCCCTAAGGTGGGTTATGTAGTGAAACTCCCCAAAGGGGTGTGGTAGACAGCGAATTTGATTTTGTAAAATCAATAAACTGCTTCTCAGCAGTTCTTGGGCTGTGCTCCTGGCATAGGGCCTGGGCCAAAGGCAGAAGGATGGAGGCATTGATCCACCTGCCCCTCTTGCTGATGCCTGCACCACTGTGAGAGGAGAAGGTCAGAGCCCCACCAAACACACAACTCACCCCCACCCGAGTGCCAGCAGAAGACAAGGCAGAGATGCTGGTCAGCCCCAAGCTGCAGGTTGGCACAGCAACAGTTGGTTAGACCTCATGGCCTCCTGTCAGGAAGCGCTAGCTCACCTGTCACCTGCACACACCACACACACACCACACATACACAGCACATGACACCCCCCACACACACACCTCACACATTTGACACCCCCACACACCACACACACCACACATACCACACACATACCACTCATACACACACACACACCACTCATGCACACATACCATACATACACCACACACACAGCACTCATACACACCACAAACACCACACAACACTCCATACACATACCTCCCCATACACATCCCACACACACACCACACACCACATACATACCACACACACACCACACACACACCACACACACACCACACATATACCACATATATACCACACATACACACACCAACCATACATGCCACAAACACACCATACGACACACCCCCCACACATCCCACACACACCACACACACCACACACATCCCACACACACCATACACATCCCATACACACACACCACTCATACATACCACATACACACCACTCATACATACACCATACCACTCATATACATCACTCACACACCACACACACACCACACACCACACACAGACCACTCATACACACCATACACACACCACTCACACATTCCACTATACACACACTACTTATACACACACACCACACCCCATACGCATACCACTCACACACACCACTCACACACACCACTCACACACACCATACACACCACACCACACGCACACACACACTTTTGGCAGAGAAGGAAGAACAAGTTGGAGCCACGGCAGGTGTGACCACAACTGCAACAGGATGTGCTTCTGAGGAATCACTGACCCTAAATGTTTTTTTCTTGTGGGGGAAAAAAAACTAGGGGCCTCCACTTTGATTTGTATACATTCTTTAGCATGTGTGCATTGAGCCCCAACTTCTAGAGCTCAGGACCTGCAGGGGGCACATTTGCCAGGAAGAACAAGGTACTGAGGCTCTTCCCTGTTTGGGGGAGAGGGAGCCTGAGGCCGGCAGTCAAGGACTCCGACCCAGGACTGCATGGAAGAGGCCACTTTCCTGAATTATGAAGTGGTTGGCAAGTAGGAAAGACTTACTCAGGAGAGCTCTTCATCACCAGGGGTTAAGCCAGATTTGACCATCTGCTTAAAAGGGCATGAAAATGTTTAGGAAAAAGATGTTTTTCTCAAAGATTTTTTTCTTTTATTCCTTTGGTCTAACTGGAGACTCTGATCTGAAAGCCAGCAGTCTAATTTAGTGGTGTGGCCTTAACAATGCATATTTCTGCCAGAAAGAGTGAACACATTAAGTCTGAGCATGGCTCAGACTTCCCCACCCCAGATCCTCCCTCTCTCCCATTTCTCTTGGTTTATCACTTTGGGGGCTTCATTTGCATTTGAGTAACAACAACAAAAAAATTAACTCAAAGACTTCAGCAACAAATGTTTTCATCTCTTGTGACTAGATTTAGGCCCAGAGGCTAGACTTTTAAAAAAGATTTACTTATTTATTAAAGATTTATTTATGTATGTATGCATATGAAAACTGAGGTACAGGTCAGAGGTGTGGGTGTGAGAACATTCATCTGAGACAGAGTGGGGAGCAGAACAGGTGGGTCCACTGCTGAGGGGAGCAGCGGAAGAGATAGGAGAGGTCTGCTGCACCACGTAGGTCAGCTCCCTGAGGCCAGAAGAACAGACGCCCCTGTTTTTACAAGGAAAATTCCTAGGAGCCTCCACATTTCTCATGGCCAGAATCATATCCCATCCTCCGAGATCAGTGGCTAGTGAGAAAAATGAAACTTGATCTGTTTCATCAACCACTCACTTTCTCTCTGGGCGGCACCTACCTCCCCTTAGTCTGGTGATGAGGGTTTGGGGTAAAGACTTGAGCCTGCTCAGGGGTTTGCTGACCAAGGAAGAAAGACTAGTGTAGTCAACTGACACCCCTACCCTACATGGGGTTGTTCAAGGAACACATTCAGCTTTTGCCATCTGGTCAGATGCTGCAGGTGACGGAGGGTGCTGTCATGGCTGCAGCACTGCATTTAGTACAAAGTCCCCCTGGGTCTGTGGGCAAAGGGCTAAGAAGGGTATGTAAACCAATAATGGCGATTTCAAGAACAACGAAGGACGATAAAACCAACCTAAAATATAGGAGGCGGAGTGACTGTTCGGAAATGACTGCGCCCCTTCGCTCACTCCTTCCGTCCACTGAATCTCACCTTTAACCAGCAACTGTGGAACCAAGCGTTGCCTTCCTCCGCCAGAAGTGGTGAAGAGGTTGACCTTGCTCGAGATTCCTGGACCACCTCACTTGCTCATGAGACAGCAGGTAAGCCCAAACAGGGATCTTTGCCTTTGACTGTGTGGCCTTGGGGAGTCACTTGGACTTCCCGGGTGTCAGTTTTGCCTTATTGGGAAACTGAACTTGCTAATTACTGCTTCCTAAGAGAGTGGAGGAAATAAAGCCATGTGTGATTCTCTAAATGCCGGCCACCACT